TACTTAAGTGACGTGGTGTTACAATAGAGAACAAGAACCCATTAGGCACAAGGCTCACCCAAATCATCGAGAAAAAATAAGTACCGATTTTGAAAATTTATAAAGGTACAATATTTATAATATTTAAGAGGGCTGGGTGGTTGTGGCCATTTTCAGACTATGTTTATCTCCTTTAGAAGAAGAGCTCCATATAAAGATGTACAAAAATGATCAAATTTTAACTAAAATGAATTAAATTTTTCTTTACCATATGATAGTTGACAGATTAAGATATCATATCTAAAAATATAAGTTATATCTGCTGGTTAATTTGTTGACCCTCAGCCTCCTTAAAGCAAAAACATTTCACTCCCGATTTATTACATGTAGTATGACACTTATAGAGGAGTAGATTTCTCTAGTTGTTATAGCCCACTAAAGTTTTCAATTAAAACAGTCTTGCATGAACTTGTTATAACCAACAGAGAACGACTGAAGCTGTTATGCCATCAAAAATTAGAACTGTCTTACAGTTATTCACAATTAATGCAACAGTTAGGATTGATTTGTGATTGAAATAATAATTATTAGCATTAAATCTTCGATTATTAAATTGTGATTTCAACTCGATATTTACTAAAAACAAGACAAAGATGTTTGAGTAATATTCTCACGACAGCCAAACCTCGGAGAATTATCAGCTTCTAAAATTAGAATTATCAGCTTCTAAAATTGCTATAACAGTCATGAGTTAATATCACTAAATGGGTAATATATGTCTTGACATTAGTAACAAGTTTTTGCGATACATGTATGTCTCAAGTGTGTAATAAAAACGACAAGATAATGGATATAATCAGTTCTTTACATGCAATCGCTCTACAGAAATTGTTTTCGAAAATGGCGATGGTTTTTCAAAATTTTGATCAAAGAAATTTATCAGTCAAGGTTTTAAACATGGTATAAAATAGATAAAATATTTAGAATGAGGACAGACAGTCGGTCCTGCTTTCTGACACGCCACGTCTGTGTTATTAGGCTTCATTTATCATCAATATTGTTTTTCAAAATTCCTTCGATTGAGATCGAATCATGCACATAAGATGCAGTCTCAGAATGGAAAGGCTGTAACAATAACTTTTTAAAATTATTGTACTCTTCTGACCTACACAGAACAATGTTACTCATTATCTACAGAATGTATTTTTTTTCTGCAAAAATGTGTTAAAGTCTCATGTGATTAATACTAATTTATAACTATCTGAATTTGAAATTCGTCATAAACAAAGTGAAAATGTGTTGTTTTTTCGGTAATATGATGTAGAAACAGAAGATCTAAGCACCAAAAAATCAGCTATTTAGGTTTCGTTTCATATTTTTTTCTTAATTCCTTTTATAGCTACATTGGTTATGGCAAACAAGTCAACACAGCACGATAGGATTCATGTTATAAATGTCGATTAAATGTATACTCCAGCTGGTCTAACTTATTAGTAGCACAGTGGGTAAACTCAGATAGACGAACTCTCTGAACGGTTTTTTTTACAGGATCGGATGAAAGTAGGTGTTGGATTCCAGTTGAGATTGTTATGTTATATAATCAATAATCCTGTAAGAGTTCACCTCAATAAACAGATTACAGCGTATACACCAAAAGAAATAGATATTTGATTCTTCGTCCTAATATTAAATTCTCATAAACACTAAGAAAATATGGTCGCAAAATAGTTTGACAGGGTATTGCTTATTAGATTGCATCAAAAAAGGCAATTCAAAAAATTGGAATATATGTCGTGAAAGCCCTAAGGAGCACATTTAAAGGGAAGTCCAGTACAGAATCAATCTGACTCGGTAAGAAAGCGAAATCTCAAGCAAGCAGTTACTAATGATGGTAATTATGACAAAGAAGTATTTTTTTACGAGACCCATATTTCAGAAACAGTCATTCTGCTTGTTTCCTCTGCGTTATCGATTCCTTTTATTCTACAGAGTTCTGCGTGTATCAATAACATTTTCCGAGTATTAAAATACCTTTGGGACATTTAACAGAAAAATTCAACATTTATAGAGTATATGAATTACAATTTTTGCTGAATTATTTATGGCAAGTCTGATTAAAAATACTTAATGCTATGAAATCGCAATCACTAAGCTTAAAAATTGACGGGTTTTTTACACCCCCCTTATGGTTTGGAAACAACCGCACTAACCATGATAAGGAAACAAAGAGTTCAAAGAATGCTAAATGAGTCCATCATGTATAACTATAGTGATATAACAGTTTGATATACCCTGTAGTATTCAGCTAATGAATTGGTATTTTTTTTCAAACAAAACCTTTTGATTTGAGAGTTTAACCACCCGATCTCACCTCTGGTGTTTTCAGGGGTCCGTGCTTTTGCCCCTTTTGTTTACTAGACTAGAATTATAAGATTGATCACTTTTATTATCTTCCCCTTTTACATTTTAACCATAAAGACTCAGGGAGGGACTTTACTTCTGACAGAAATATAAAACCTTTTAAACAAAGTCAATCTGACTTATTTCATTAAAAATTTTGACGAGGAAACCATGTATTGATTTATATTTGCTGCACTCCTTGTTCACATGGAGGAAACAACAACATTGCTTCCTAAAGTACAAGATAATGAAGCTACATTCGAATAATGGATCAGCACATCTAGCTTATTGGTTCAATTACTTTTATGGTGTTTTCCTCATTTTAGATATATGTACAATTTTGCAAAGTCATGTAGGTATACATTCATAGATAATAAAGCTGATGTACTAATTGAATTACTTTTTTGGGATTTCTTGAAAATATGAATTTATCGATCAATGTGTGAATGCTAAGCCTTTCGCCGTTTTCCTGTTTTAATCAAATATAAGACTTCGTTTATTAATAAATTGAATTATCAACCTTGAAGATAGTTATTTAAGTTCATATTGAATTAATTTTAACGGTTGAAAATACGTTATGTCCTATACTGAGAAAATGCTGTTAAAGTTTACCATGTAAACTAATTTGTAGTTGAATACCATGTATTCTAAAAAAGATAATTAAATGGAAGCTAGAAGATATAGAAATGCTTTGTATGTCTGCGTGAAAATCAAAAACAAGTATTTTGAGACAGATGGGTTAGTTCATACATAGAGGTTTATGGGCAATTTTTGGAGAATAGACATCTTCATTGTACTAATGGAGTTGAAGTCTAATCACATATATGATTACTATTGTTTAGCTTCAGAAAATTTTACAACTAGGAAAGTAAAACAGGGTTGCGTTAAGTTTATTCTTACAACATCTACTATTGGTCATCGTTTATTTATGAGTTGTCACTTGTTTTTTCTTATTTCAACCTTGAAAAGTATTAACCACAAATTCACATCTTTCGTAGCAATTACTTGTAATTATGCAGAGTATGGTTGTAAACACTTTGATATGGATGACAACTAATCCCTGTTGCATAATTTTCCTGTTTTTTTTTAAGATATAGTATTGTTAAATAATTCATGCATTTTTCAAATATGACTGAGACTTGAATTCTCGTTAATATCATCAAAGTTAATCAAACCTTTTCATCGCCCTAAGTAACTGTAATTTTTACATAATGATCAGATATTGAACCTAGCAACCTTAATGATTACAGCAAAAGTTATAAATGCCGTAGATAAAAAAGGAAAAGAAAATGTGTGAAGCCCAAGGGCATGGACTGTTAATACCTACATTTACAGCATACACATATGAGATGAAGGAATCACACTATGTTTGCTGTTCAATATCTTTGCGATAGGGTGACTGTACACTCTTTCCTAAGAGAGAGAGAGAGAGAGAGAGAGAGAGAGAGAGAGAGAGAGAGAGAGAAAGAAAGAAAGGATACTGTGATTTTAATTAAGGATCAACTTCAGTTGAAAGTTACCCGTATGTTTTTTGACAAAGAAGAACGAGAGAGCAATGTAGATCCTTGGTCCTTAATTATTGCATTTTGAATGTAGATCGTGGCCATTGCTTTGCCCACCAGTGTTTTTAGAATCAAATTTTACTGATGGCATATAAATACATAAAATCGTCTTATTTCCTTATTTCCTCAATTAAAAAATAACAAAATTTAAGGAAGATTTTGCTTCTAAAACATAGCAAGTTATTCTATCTGCTGAATTTGCCTATTTTTATTAACTAGAATCGTACATTTCTCAAAGCTAGGCTGCCTTCTAAAGCAATTGATGTATATTAAATTTAATGATTTTTTTTAATTAACGAAAGTTGTTTCATCCTCTCACCTTTTTGTGAGTTTTGTGTATGCTTCTGATTCAAAATCAAAATTGATTTCCATGCAGGTAAAGTCATTGGTTCTGAATTACAAATTATCACAACATTGATTTCTGTAGTTTCATTGTAATCTCAAATGATAACTCAAATTTGGCTTTTTCAAAATTTTTCTTAAAACTTTAATTTTCCTTATGCTTACGTACATATCTAAGATTCAAAGATACTGGTGGAGGGAGGGATGTTAAATTGGGGGTATTGAGGCATTTAATTTACATTGGTGACAATTACATGTAGTTGATTACAAATTATCTGATGAAATAGAAATGAAATAAACTGATGGAATGATACCCCTTGTATATCCTATGGATAAAATATATGGTTTCTTACACCCTTCATCTTGTATCAAACTTTGCAAAAGACAAGCGTATTTGCTGCCCTTTCCTTTTTAACAAAGAGTCAAATTGAGTAATAACACTACTGCATGTATTAAATCCCGTTCAAGTGTAACGAAAAAACATGTATTAATATAGTGAAATTAAAGACAAGATCCGAAAAAAAGTTCAGGAACCCCTGCTTCTAACAGAGATAGAATACAGCTATGTAATGTTCGTGATTCATACATCAGATACTAAAAAGACGCAATCCTTAAAAGTGTAAAATCCGATTAAGAGAACATTTGATGTGTTTCATACAGAGAGCGGTCTTTGATCATGATAGTAAGATAAACCAGCTAACATGTACAGATACTCACTTTAATTGACTCGCAGTTCATCAAGCTCAATGCCTTTGTCTTTTGTTCTGAAATGACAATGATATATTTTGGTAACTCTCTCATTCAGTTTTATATAAAGTTATCTATGTGCCATTTTTAAGATAAGGATCTCGCTTATCGAAAAGTTTTTAACGAATGCGCCAATCATACTGTCAATATTCCCATCTACTCACATTCTTTTGACATCTTGTTATCAAAGAATTTTATACCGCAGGCTAACTTTCGTCTGAAGAAATGAGGGCAACAGATGTTGTTGGATGAAATGATTAATCTATCTATTTGTTGTAATTATCGGATTTAATCTAGTGATAGTCCCAAAATACTTCAAATGAAGGTTAAGGGATTAATATACCTGTGTGCCTCTTCAAATGGTGAGAAGTGTCTACTACTTCTTTGAATATTTATGTTGCTTAGCCAACAAAGATATTGTTAAATAGAGAAAGATTACATCACACAGTTTCCTGAAACGACTTTATCATCTTTTGTGTTCAAACAAATAAAAACAAATAAGCGCCTACTTTTCATTATGCATACCCATCAATAGTTATTATGAAAAATGTTTTGCAATTAATTATAGAAAAAGAATATGATTTACTTTCAACAAATCACCAACTTAATCACACAAAGGACTAAAATTCTCTATTTTGTACACAACATATGAATGATAATGAACATGTTTGATCCTCTCATAATTAGAGAGCGATTTGGTATTTTTCTGTTATTTCTTCTTAATTACTTCACAAAATCCAAATTACTAAAGAAAAGTGTTTGAATAATTTTCGCGTACTTTACCAAGGCCATTCCGTACAAAATGGATATTGAAAGGGAGGCAGATATCACTAATGAAACCTTGAATTCATTGTTTGAAGATGAAACCCAGTTGTTACTCAATCAACATTTCGAAAATTCTATGGTCGGGATTATAACCCTGTTTACAAACGCAAGATATTGTTTGGTCGAATTGTGACTGCTTTGTTTTATATCAATTGTTAGTCCATTGTTATTGGTCGCCTGCGTGGCGCAGTGGTTAGAGCGTTTGCTCTAGAGTCATGATGTAAGGAGTAGATCCTTACATCGCGGGTTCGAATCCAATGCGGGACGTGGAGATCGGTCCTTTGGATGAGACCGTATAAACGAGGCCCCGTGGCGTTATAGGTGTTGGCACGAAAAAGATCCCTCACTGTGCACTGGCCCTGGGTGCCGAGAAAAGATTAAAATTTGCAGCCCACTACCAGCAAGTGGTGGTGTCTCCATATGAGTGAAAAATTCTCGAGAGAGACGTTAAACAACAAACAAACAAAAACAAAACCATTATTTTTTTTTGTTATATAATCTTTTGTTTGGCTATAATACTCTGTTTACCTTATTAATACAGAAGACCTATGGTGGGTGTAACCGCTCCACAGAGGACGCTTACTCCCCCAAGGCATCTGATCCACCCATTGTGTTTCGAGTGGCCCTTGTTTGCTCTGTTTACGATTTGTATTTTTTATAGTATTTTACAGTATTGATCACTGTTCGCCATCATTAACTTTTTATTAAGTCTTGGATCATATCTTGATTTTATTTCAAAAACAGCAAGAGCTACTGTTACATCATATATATTTATGGGGTTTTAATTTTTGTCGTTTTCCCCAATACTTCCTTTAACACGAAATAAAATCCCCATGAACCATTTTTTTTACACCACGAAAAAATCAACTCACGAAAATAAGTTGTCTACGGTTCTAAGTGTAAGGATTTTGTTCATAAAAGAAAAGATTTTCTCAATCAAAAAAAAACGCTTAGATATGAAATATTCCAGCAGAAGTAACGGAAAAAAGACGCACTTTCTGTTATATACAGGAGCCGCGAAACATACATCCTTGTATAAACACCCCAGGCACTTCCCCTAGTGTTTACCCCTTGTAAATATTAACTGACAAAGATACATAACAGGTTGTTCTGTCTGTTATCGAAGGAAAAACATTGTATCTGAGGAAATCATTATCCCTAATTACGCCAGAAACAGGCAAAAATTGAAATGTGTTATCTTTATAGAATCTTTTGAATGGAAGGCCCTATACTATGTTTACATTTTATTAGGTCGATAATAATCTTATTAAAATGTCCTTCAGTAATTATATCTTTTAAGAGTGCAATTGCACTATAATTATAATTATGGATGAAATCAATTAAAATAACAAGTCACTTGATATTTCTAAAGTAAATATTTTTCAAGATTTAAAAGATTTTTTCAAGATTTTTTTAAAAAGATTTTTCACAGAAGGATTCAATGTACTTAAAATGAAAATTTGCATTTCCCAAACCATTCACAGTGAATAAGCATATTATCAAAAAAGTCGAAAAGATAAATAGCTCACTTATACACTTAATTACAAATACAAAAGATAGCAGAAAGGCTGACACTGATATTAAAGTAGAACATGAGTGTTATCCTTATAAATTTCAATGTCAAGGTAAAATGGAATTTATGATGGCTCATAAAACATTTTTATGGTGATCATCACATGAGATATATCCTGAACTTATATTAAAAGAATAAAAAATCTGGCATGGATAAGCTTGCTTAGTATGCAAACTGGTAGAAATTGATGACAAAGTTCGAATAATAAAAAAAGGGGTTATGATATTACCAGAACCAGTCTCGGATCTAAAGAGGAACAAAAAAGATTTAAAGAAAATAATTCCGAATAAAATATTATATTATTATCTTCTTTCTTCCAAAAAGGATACATACTAAATTAACTGTAAAAATATTTTTACGATATATTTTAAGATGTTGTTATATGTAGAATTAATTTCGGAGACAGGAAGAACGTAGAATACACAGACAAAGAGTTAACATCTGTCGTGACAGGTTTATATACCTTATGCCAATAATTCACCAAAGAGGAAGCATAGTGTAAGAATTTGGTTTTGTATATTATTGTATGTCCCTCTGTCATGTTATTATGTAAGATATCTTGTAAAAGTGCATACTTGAGAAAATTTAGCTGAATTCTGTTTATCATAAGAAGGGATACCTTTACGTCAGATCTGAAAGTTTATCTTAATCACAACAAAGATGTTTCCAACAATCCATAAAACAGCATTATTGATAGATGAAGGCAAAATTCCCCGGGAAAAGACATATATATTCTGATTTTCCCTTGATTATTTTGTTTCTGCTGCACTCTGCAGTCCGGGTATTTGTCATTTTTATACTGTTAATTATAGACTTCCACAACCATCACTGCTTAGTCAGATATTGTAATTTGCCTTTTATTTTGTATATCAATCAATTTTATATGTCTGGAAATATGTCATGGACGAATGATGATTTTTTTTTTCGAAACATCTGTTATAAAGATAAAATACAATGAAGTATCCCAAAATACAATTAAGGAAGGATTCTTGCCTGGTTTCTGACTAAATGATATACTCAAAGTATATTTGCTTACAAGTCTTTTATATTTAGATGCTACGGATTTTAAAGATCATATTGTACAATTTGAAATAGTAATGGTAAATTGACTTTGAAATCTAGCAGGGACTATATTTTTGGCGGAAGGGCGGCGTATGAAAATATCTCTTTTTATGTTTCTCAAAATTACCACAGAACAAGGAATTTAAACGGCATTTTTAAAAAATCAAAGGCTGAAGGAAGTTTTTGTAGTAAATGAAATTAGTAATAATGGACTAAAACTATAAAATATATCAAATAAATATTATTTTCTAGACAAATGGCAATCTTATAGCCTTTGAAAGCTAAGGAGTCTTAGAACAGATTCGAGTAAAAATTCAGTAAAAAAATGTTTTCCTCTCTTATTCAACGGTCAAAACTTTTGGTTTTTGCATCATTTTGTAAATTTACATGACTACTTTACCATATGTAAAAATAATAAAATTTTAAATATACAAAGCAATATTCCCTAAAAAATGAAGAAAATAGAGGAAATTCGGGTTACCTAATATCTATTTAGTTTAACTGTTTATCTCAATTTGATATTATCATCTGGTAGACCTTTTGCTGTATTAACTTTTTATGTAAAAAGAAAAAGATTAAATCTTTTAAAGGAAAAATAAGTATTACATGATTGGCAACAATAATTTCTGATTCTTAATGACGCGGAAAAGATTAAGACCTTGACATGACCTTGACCTTTTAATGAAACGGTCAAATATAATGTAATTGATGTCATCACTTGGTGATATTGTCCTCTTGAATCTGTGAAAATTTCATTTATGTTTAAATATGATAAATACGAGAGGAATCTCTCCTTAAGTATCCCAAAATACAATTAAGCATCCGAAAATAGAGGCATACATGTACATATATGTATCATATATTGTAAATGTTGAATTTAAAGGGTAGAAATGAATGCAAAATTTTAAATGCAACATGATAATAACCTTAATGTAATTACTATTTTGCAATTTTTTTTACTTATGTCTACTCTATAAATTCAAAATTTACAATATATGATACATATTGATATCGTTAGCATTTCAAAGTATCTTTATTTTGGCGAGGTTAAAAAAGAAGGTATCTCTCTTTCGATATAAAACTATGTATGGCCATTGGTCGTTTTTTGTGTTTTCAAACCCAGTATAAATTCAAATTGACTCAGCTAAACCATCTGTATGTTTTAGATGTTCTTTAGATCTGTATTACACTTTAATGATGAAAATGCTGCTATAAGCATGTGTGATCCCAGGTATGATTCCAACCAAACAAAAATATTTATAACAATTTAGATATGCGAATCAATCAGAATTTCACAATTTTTTTTTAAAAAATTCTGTTTTTGATATGGCTTATGCCACGTGAAAAACTCTAGCCACACTTATTTGTAGAAAATGTTTTGGTATCTGTACTTGTAGATAAGCCTGGTGGCCGGTTTTCATTGCAATAGTACGTGCCTAATCCTTAAGACATCTTTTTGCATTCATTTGCTAAATTAAAGATTAAATGGACAACAATCTAATCAGCATGCCACTCAGGAAATTTCTTCACTTTATGGCACGTTTTATAAATGTAATA